ATAACTCTTTGGCTGGGAGTTCTGGCAAAAATTGGCTTTATGTGGACGGCGATGATTCCAACGGGGTTTTGGGCGACCTCACTGTGACTACACTTCGTGGTCATGTTTTTTCTGATACTATTCCAATTATGGAAGGGGCATGGCATTATCCAATGTGGTGGGTGTGGCGACTGTGGGAGGTGTTAGTGTTGGTGTTGGTGTTGCTATAGGTGCCTGTTCCAAGTCTCAACTTGTGGGGTCTCTTTTGGGTGTTAATGCGGTTGTGGGATCGGGTCATACTGATGAATGTGTTCAGGAAGGGGCGGATATGTATGGGTCGGCAAATAATGAAGTTCATAGCTCCCTCTCTCAGAGTTTCGTTGCTTCTGTCCATGTGGAGGAGCTCGTTCAATGTGTGCCCTCGGTTTCTCAATGCCAAGGGTAGGTGTTGCCTTTGTCCCGATGGGATCAACTCTCAAAAGGTATTCAGAAAGGTGAAGGTTCGGCGGGGTCTCGTAAAAGTCGTTCTTCTGCTTCGTCGGAATCCTTTCAAAGCTAGGGCTCTCTTCCCATGTGGAACAGTCGTAAGTGTCGCACTATTAATCCTGTCTTGGTTCCGGGATCATCTTTGATTGATGAGAAGAAGCCTAAGGTCTTAGTGGCTCCCTTTCTAAACTGTTTGGTCACGGATCAGTTTTCATTTAAAGCTGCGGGTAATATTCCTGTTCGTGCGCAGACTGGCGATTCAGTTAACTCGGAATCATCTTCGTCGCAGTCTTTTGCTACGCAGCTGGCTCTTTTGGTTGGTGATGTCTAACCTAGGGTTAACACGTCACACTGATCTGTTGTTTATGTTGTTTTTGTGAGGTTTTGGCTCTTTTGTGCTTTTGCTAGTTTGTTTCCTTTGTGTGGTTGTTTTGTTCTTTTGTGCTTGTAAATGTCGTAGGGCATTTTATTGTTACGCCAAAAAAAAAAAAAAAAAGTAATTCCAAATTGTATTATCTTACTAATAAATAAATATTAAAATAATATTAAAATATATTTTATATATACTTGAAATAAAACAAAAGATACATAAATTAACCGAATTATGTTATTAGAATTTGAAAACTTGTGAGATATAAAAAAAAATCATTCTAGTTAAAATTTGGAAAGAACTCAAATCTTATATTCTTTTCTTAACTAAAATTCAATACTATAAATTTTTTGTTTTACTTTAAAATTTAAAGCAAGTATGTCTAAGTTAGGTGAACACGCCCCTATATTTATTTAAGTGTAAATTACACTGACTTCCCATGAGGTTGGGACAAATCTTCCAAAGATGAAACGATTGAAGTTTATTACTTTAACCTCTTACAAAGTTTGACAACTTTGCTTACTCACACCCCTGCTGTTTTCTAATCGTTAGAACCGTTAACCAAATTTTTTATAATGGCTGTATTACCCTTAGGCTGCATTACCCCTAATTCATTCTCCTTCTCATGCGTCGGTTCTAAACTAAGGTGGCAATTCGTGTTGGCGTGTCGTATTTGTGTCGACACGATTACGACACGGACACGATTAGGGTTGACACGAACACGACACGATTATTAATAGTGTCTAAGACCTTTGACACGAACACGACACGATTATTATACCTGTAACACGACACGACACGACACGACACGACACGCATAACCTGTTTAATAAATGGGTCAAGACTTGACATGACACGAAAAGACACATTTAAATCATTTTTGACACGAATATGACATATTTTGCTACATGGTCATTTTTGACACTAACACGACACGTTTATCTGACATGTTTAGTTAATCGAGTTAATCGTGTCGTAATCGTGTTTACAAGGTCAAACACGAATACGACACGTTTAGTTAGCGGGTCAATCCATGTCGACATGATTATGATAGGAACACGATTAGCCCAAACCCTAACCCGCTTATCTCGTGTCGTGTTAGTGTGTCGTGTCAAATATTGCAACTTCTATTCTAAACCCATCGATTTCAGTCACATCCTTTCCGATCACCTCATCGTGAAATTTTTTATTTATTTTTGGTATCTCTATTCACTTAAAATTTTGTTTCTATATTAGGGTTAGGGTTTCTGATTTGGAAGACTCACTCTCATGATTTTTTTTCTTTCTATTTTAACAATGTTGTGGATATCGTGTAATTAAGGTAAACTAAGATTAGGGTTTTGAATTATTTGATTTTTTTTGGGTTTAATTTAGCTACACTTCCTGTGGTTTGTCCAATCTTAATTCAAGGAGACCGCTCCACATTTACAAAAATTCAATCAGATCTTTTACTTTTTCTGACACATATCAGTCTTCCCCTCGGTGATCGATCAAAGCTGGTCATAGATGTTTTTTGTTGACATTAGCAAAAAATTAAATTTTAATGTCCAAATTGCCTCTCAACTGTTATATTTGATTACATACTATATAATAACATCTTTGAATCAAGTTGTACTAATAAATTAAAAAATTAAATTTTAATGCACAAATTTTAAGATTTTGTTTGTAATTCAAAAGGAAGGATCCTGTGATTTCTTCTCATGAATAAAAAGATTTTGTTTGTTTAAACGCTAAACACTAAAAGATTTTGCAAACTTACTAAAATAAAAATATCAAAAAAGAGAGAATTAATTCGTATTAGGGTTAATAAGGGATTTTGCAAACTTACTAAAATAAAAATATCCAAAAAGAGAAAATTAATTCATATTAGGGCCGCAGATGGAAAATTAGGTATCCAAAAGCTACAATGAATAAGATTTTGCAAACTTATTAAAATAAAAATATCAAAAAAGAGAAAATTAATTCATATTAGGGCTGATAAGATTAGGGCTTTCAATTTTAGATTCAAATAGAGATAGAAAATAGAGATAAGATTAGGGCTTTTAGGGCTTTTAATTAGGGTTTATATGTGCAAGGCAAAAATACAAAATCAGAGAGAGCGAGAGAGAAATAATCAGCAGCCGAGCCAGCTCCATGGTTCCCACCTTTGGACTTTGTCACTCCACGGATTTTATCTTCTTGGATTTTGATTTAAATTTGATCATTATACTCTGGTGGGTTGTGGGTTTGGAGCTTCAACTCTAACTCAACTCAACTCGTGTGCCGTACGCAGTTTGTCCAAGTTCAATTTCTATTTTTTGATGCCCCTCCCACCGAAAACCCAGAAATTCTACAACTCTCTCTTTGGCTCTGGCTTCGGCGACGACCAATCGATGAGATTGGACTCTATCGACAGTGACAACCAAACGATGAGATTAGGCTTGCCGAGAAACCCTAACAATCCCCGATGTCGGCCACCCACAGAGCCGGCCAAGGCCAGCGCTTCCGTCGCCAATTGCTCCCCTCATCTGTTTGACCTCTCTATCTTCTTCATCATCTGGGTATAGCTCATGCCCCTTTTGTCGACTCATCTCATCTTGTTACATCCCAGTCCACCTCCATACCACTTTCATGCATTTCTCAACAAAACAAAACCAAGAAAAAGAACCAGTTTTTAGAGAGAGAAAGTTGTTTTGCTTGAAAGATGGTATATCATTTACTGCTGTTTGGTTCAACAGATAGAACTAACTTTGGTGGGATTGTTTGGTTAAGCGTATATAGAAAACGATAAAAGGGTAAATTAGTCATTACATCCATTTATTTGTTTTTGTCAGCCAATAATGTCTGATAGGGGCTGATTGAATTTTTATAAATGTGAAGAAGTCAATCTGAAAATTGAACAAACCACAGGGATGTAATTGAATTAAACCCATTTTCTTTTTGATTTTTATGTTTTCCCAATTCTTTATTTCCAACCTATCAGCTTTGGATTTTTATGTATACAAATAAACCTTTACTTTCTTATAGATAAATTCATATATAGAACATGCATTAGCAGGACATGTGTATAAGAATTCGTATATGTTTTGTGGTGATGGAGAACATGCATTAGCAGGACATATGTATAAGAATTCGTATATGTTTTGTGGTACTGGAGATGGAGATGGAGATGGAGATGGAGATGGAGAGAAGCATGGAAGAGAGGGAAACCAAGTGTGTGTGTATATATATATATATTTATATATATATGTATCTATATATATATTGGATAGAACAGTAATTTTTGTTGAGAGATTAAAGTAATAAACTTCAATCTCACAATACCAATGAGATTTACTCAAAGGAGGTGAGTATAATTTACCAATCATTAACGTATAACTTTTTATGCATTAACATATAACGTAACAAACTTACACTTTTCATGTAGTTTCGGATCCCTTGTGTTGCTGGATTAATAAAATTTAATCCAGAATTCCGCACTAAAATTTAAACTCAATTCTATTCAATGGTTTCAAGTATCTTTCAAAATTTATGGGTGAAAATTGGATTGCCTGGTTAGACCCACCCAAATCCCAAACCTAATCATTATATTATTTACTAAAAATAAGGTGAGAGTGGTTTTGTGTTAAAATGAAAGGCCTAAGTGGATTTGTAAAATGACTATTAAATTTAATCTAATCGTCTATATAAATAAAGAAGATCAAAAAGAATTTTAAAAGTCTAGTTAAATATGTTGTTTTTATTATTCGTTAATTAAAAATTCTAACTTGTTTCTAGTCATATGTCGCGAGATGATTGTTAGGGTTGATAAGGGAAAAGGTTGGATTTTGATCACAAGTGTCGCAAAATTCAGTGGACTTCTATGTAGTCAGTAAATCAAATGTATCCATTAAAATCATTGACTAATGTTTTGAACCGGAAAATAAATATAGAGTAATTTTTTTACTGTATTAGTAATTTTCAGAAAATTGAACGGAACAAATTTAAAATTTGATACTTTCGTACCCGGGTATCGCTGAAATTGATTACTTACCGATAAAAAAATTGATTACTTACCGATAAAAAAAGGAAGAAGTTAATCAATGAACTTCAACTAGCAGGAAAAGGATAACTAATGTACCTGGTCCGTACGATCATTTAGAAACGCATCTGTACCGTTGTTTTCTTTTCTCACTGACCCTTTATTCGTTTAAACTCGTGAGAGAGAGAGTGAGAGTGGGGGGAGAGGTGTTTGTTTGCTTGGAATCGCAGCGAAATATCGGAGCGAAACGAATCGGTGAAGAATGTCGTCGGGTGTTACGAACCAGGAGGAAGACAAGAAACCCACCGATCAAACGGCTCACATCAATCTTAAGGTCAAGGGTCAGGTATGATATATATATATATATATATATATATATATATATATATATATATATTCGTGTGCGTGTGTATGTGCTGTCATCATGATTATTTTTTTATTTTTGCATTTCCGTTGTTAGGGTTTCTATTACTAGACAGTTATGATTTCTCGATTGATCGTTCTTAGGGTTTGTTTTTTACGAGGCATTTTGTTTATTAACTATTAGGGTTATAATTTTGGTGGTTATATATATATTGTAATACGCGAGATAGTGTTTGTGGACTTCGAGATTTATACTGGGAAATTACGATTTTAGTTTGTTTTGTACTTTAAAACATCACCTATTCTTTGAGTTGCAAAGTTCCAGTATTTAATGTGACACCCAACCTCTGCAACTATCATTTGTTTTGCTAATTTAACTTCAAACGAGTGACGTGGTTCTTATAAGCTATGACATGAGTCACTTAAAATATCTCTTGTTGTAAGTTAAAGTTAAGTTTCATTTCTATGGCAGAATAGTTTTGTGGAACAATTGGATTTATGCACATTCAGGGATTAGAGATCAGAATGATCTGTTTGATTTGACTTCTGGGTTTTGCATGCTTGTGCACTATTTGTGAAAGTGAAAATTTGAAAACGTGTTTTATAGATTCTCATGATTTAAAAGCAAGATAATGAACGAAAGGCCTGATATCAAATTTTGTAATAATTGAACTAATTTAAACTGTATATATATTTTTAAGTTCTAAAATCGTATTTGCAGAGGCTTTGCTTGACTAGGGTGTCCTTTGGTAGCTAGGTACTCCGTTCAGCAGTCAATAAAAAACATTGTATTTGGTAGAGTGGTATGGAGGAAAGGTGCTTGCACTCTTCATTGCGATGGCTGAGATGGGTGGGCCTTGTAGCTTATACCAAAGCGTTGTAATTGATTACTTGTACTAAATCTGCTATTCATATGTGTGTGTGTGTATATATATATATATATGTATGTATGTATATGTATATATTTTTATAAATTCTCTCAATCTCGGTTGATGCAAGTGTCTTTAGTGTGGTAAGATATCTGGTTTTGGTCTCTTAATCTAGAAATTATTGGGATTTTGTCAATTTTGAAATTGAATCAGGCAAATGTTGTTAAAATGTAGTATGTGGTTTTAAATGCAATGGAGTAGTAGTTACATTGGAGTAGCAGTTGCAAGCTGCTACTCTAGGTGCTGTTGCTGTAGGAAGATTATTCTAGGGTAACTTTGTGTAGTTTTTTTTAATTTTTAAATCCAGTTCTTTTTTTTGAGTGTATCCAATGTTGGTTAAAGGCGCGCCTAGGCTCCAGGCTCATAGAGGCGCAAGACTTGTGCTCGTTGCATGCCTAAGCGTGCCTTTGTCAATATTTGTGCCTTTAGTATGGAATATGAATTCTTCTATATGAATGCTTTAATAGTAACTTATAAAAAAAAATGAATGCTTTAATAGTAATTTAATTTTTCCATTGACCTCACTTCACTCAGGCGCGGGCCACGTTTGTGACTTGCGCCTAGACCTATAGTGCCTTAGTGCGCCTTGGGCCTTTGATAACACCGAGTTTACAAAAACATATGGTTGATTTTTCAATGGCCATCTGGACCCAGAAAAATATGTGAGGGGGGGGGGGGGGGGGGGGCAATAATAATTTTTTTTAGTAATTTCAGGGGGGTGGGGGCAATAGTTATATTTTATGAGTATATAATTGGAAAAAACAAATTAACAAGGGTATATTACTAAAATAAAAAATTCCCCTGGGGGGAGTCCTAAATTCTGAATCTTCCAGTGTTTTTCAAGTGGCACTTTGTTTATCAATTCGTAATTTTTTGTGGTTCTAATGTATTCAATTCCTTAAATATCTGTTTTCCCAATGCATCTAATTCCTTAAATTTTTGTGGTTCTATTGTATTTAATTCTCACATCTTGGTTCTCTATATTCAATACGAAACAGGGGTTTTGGGTGTGATATAAAGGATTTCCTATTATACCAACGGGTCAGTGGCCTAGCGGTATCAGACTCTTACTTTCCCAATGGGAGGTCAGGGGTTCAGGCCTCAATGGAGGCATGTGTGTGTGAGTACTAGCTATGGGAAAAGAAAATTGTGTTTGGAATTTTGTTAGATTCCATTTGGGAGAGGTTTACTTTATTTGTAATCAATTTAAAGTATCTGTGAATTTTGTTTATTCTGTGTAGCCTATCATATATGTTGGCATTAAGATATATATTCGTTTGGTGTTATAAAATTTTCCTATATATTAATTAGTACTCTTTATTTTATTTTATTTTTTTTATTTTTTATTTTTTGTAAGATTTAAGCAATTTTCTGCTATTTAAACTGCTTTAGATGCATTAAATTAAAATTCATATTACAGACTTATCTGGAGCTGCAGTTTTTGTCGTCCCTTACTTTTTTATTTTGCTGCATGTGAACTGCTACTAGATTTTTTTACTTAGCTATATATCCAATTGTTTCCCAAATAGTATAATAGGAAAAATGTGCACCATTTAAAGGTCAGAATCTTCGTGAAATGGAAGAGGAGAAAAAATACACAAGAAGTAGAAACCAAAAGTTAAGAAACAGAGAGTACAGTCCTTGGTGAATCTAATGGAAGATTGAGATTATAGAAAATTGTCAGAAAGAACAAAATAAAAAAATTACCCAGTCTAGTATTGCCTACAGGCCATACTCAGTGTTTTTGGAGTAAAAGCTTGAAGATGGCATTATTTTGTGTAAAGTTGCCGCATTTTTAATTAGGCCTGCGTTCTCATGCTTGTTGGTCAGTGGCCCCTACTGACACATAACTAATAACAAAAGCCTGATATTTGAACATATAGCTAGATATGTAATATTATTATATCCAGTATTACTTTTATGATATTCTTTTATGTGTTTTAGCGTTCAAACATGTGATTCCAGTATGGACTCAGAAAAGAGAAAAATGAGAATAAGAATGGTGTTTTCTCTCTTATTTTCCTAATTCCTAGAATTAGTAGATATCTTTGAATAATCTCAAATTCACTTTAACTTTATAAGATGTCAAATTTTACTAGATTTAATGTTTCATCTCTTACCTTATTTATTTATTTATTTTTCTGATTACAATCTCTTTGCTAGTGACACATGATTAGACTCCACAAGGTAAAATATTTTAACGTTAGTCACACACTAACATATTTGTTTCTGAGCTAGCAAGCAGAATCATGTAAATTTAAATTCGGCTCATCTAGTAACTAACTTAAAAAAACATTTTCAAACTTGGTTGATGAATGAAGTGAATCAGCCAGTAAAAGAGCTAAGCCTGAACTTTTTATGAGCAAGTCAGCTAATTTAAAACATTTTTTTCTTTTCTTAACAATAACATGTTTCTTTGTTATGGCTGTGTGCCCTGGCTCTCTTTTCTATGGGGCTGTCATCTTGTAATTTATACGATAATTTACACATGCTAATACTTAATATCTTAATAAATCTGAATTAAGGTGAGACTATCCTTTTCTATGATTGTACTCAATTGTAATTTTTCAGATACTGTAAAGTGAGGCAAACATTTGCTTATGTGATTCTGTTTGAAATTGTTTTGATATTAAGACTCATGCTAATTAGCTGTTTATGACTGGTATTGATATATTGTAAGATTCTGCTTATTTCCTTGTTTATTTCTTTGAACTATATAGCGAGTCATTGAATTAGTAATTATAAGTGAAACATTGATTTCCCCCCTCCCTACTAGTTCTTTTGTTACTTGAATTTTAGTGATGGGATCCGCTTTTTATTCAATGCTCATTTCAAAGGTGTCGATGTGCTTCTTGATTTATTGGCTTTTATGATTTGGAATTGGTGGTTTTCGTCATCTATGGTCTACTCATTAGATCATGTCTACTTCTTCTGTGGTTTAGTTTGAGATCATTTGTTCAAATGCATTGGAGCAAGTGCTTCTTGAGTAATTGGCTTGTATGACACAGAATTGGTGGGCATTGGAGCTGGTGTGGCAGCTAAGTGTATTTCTGTTTTGACTTGGTTTCAGAAGCTATCGGCAATGAGCTATTGTGTTAATGCACGTTCTTTCAATTCGTCTTAGCATATGATTTTTTATGCTGTATGTGCTTGCTTTTAAACCAATTATGTTCTCTAAAACTTGCCTACCATGTTCCACTTCTGGAAAAAATTAGATTAATAGAAGCTACTTCCCATGTTTCCAAGTTTTAATGAACTCCTAGTTTCTTGCTGAGTTTGTAATAATAAATAAATAATTGGTTTTACTCACTGAGTAACTACCTTTCTGATGCTAAGTTTTCTTCTTTGATATAGTGATATTCTGTGATGGGAAAACAGTGCATTGATATTCAGTTTGCAATAGTCGATTAAATTGTAAAAAGGAGAGTGTGGGCCATGCCAACTAAATTTAACCTACCGAATGCATACTTCTTTAATTCTTTCAATTACAACACCGACTTAGATTATGAATTTAGCTCTGACTTTAGCTTAAAGATCTCCACTCTGAAGATGGGGACCACATTATAAAGCATATCTGTTTGTGATGTTAGCTGGGCATTTGGAGTCTTGTCAGTGTTACTGAATTTTGCTAAATGTCCCTAATTTTGTCATTTTTTGTAGGATGGGAACGAAGTGTTCTTCAGGATTAAGAGAAGCACACAACTGAAGAAGCTCATGAATGCTTACTGTGATCGGCAATCAGTGGAGCTCAACTCTATTGCATTCCTGTTTGATGGCCGTCGTCTCCGAGCGGAGCAGACACCTGATGAGGTCTCTCTCTCTCTCTCTCTATATATATATATATCTCTCTCTCTCACACACACACACACTTAAGTTTCTGACTTCAGAATTTTGTTGTTACAGCTGGAGATGGAGGATGGCGATGAGATTGATGCTATGCTGCACCAAACTGGAGGTGCTACTGTCTAGTTGCATTATAAGATTGTCAGAAGACTGTGTTTAAGTGTGTTTATATATAATGTCCGCTTAACTTCTGTCAAGTTGTTCCTGGATTTTACCATTTATGGTTGACTAGTAGGATTGGGCATGGATACATGCTGGTTCTGGATTGGTACTATGCTGCTTCTGCTTCAGTCAAGTTGGTGTTTGTTGACACCTTTCTATTTCTATTTGGTATTAGTTTTTCGATATGCTATTCAGTTTCATGTTTCTAGTTTTGACGTGTCTTTGATTATTTGTTATGAGTAGTGGGAGGAGGAAGAGTTGGAACCTTTACAGGCACTGGAAGGTAAGACGATCTGAATTTAGTATTGTCTATTAATTCCAGGCACCTCGATGCTATCTCGTTTGTGACGAAATTACCGTGCAGGATACCATGCGGATATCTCTAAGGTATTCTGCATCAGCAGCCTACTCTGCCTCCTGGTTATTTGCAATTTGTTCATGTGGTTGAATTGTGAATTGAACAAATTAGGGACAGGCCATAAAGAATAGTTTTTGATTGCCCTTTCAATCCAACATTGAAGACCTCAAACAACACAGTTTTTAGTCTTCTATTGTGATGGATCATTTCTTTATGCAAGTGCCAAGTGGGACCACTTTTTATGAATGGAGCATGTTGATTGGATGGGCATATATGTTTGGCTGTATCTTTTACTTCATTTGTCTTAAAAAGAATGTCTCTTTTGGATCACAGTTTTTCAAAAGAGACATTCTTTTTTAAACAAGGGAGTAATTGTGATTGGCCTTCCATCGTGCCATTGAATTGTTGTTGGCCCCTTTTTTCATCCTTTTATCTTTTATTTATTTATTTGATGTAATTGTCTTGTAACTATAAATTAATTTGTTCGATGGTCTTGTTATGTACTGCAATTAGGTCCGTTTGGTTGGGCGACTCCTATTGCTTGGAATTGGTCAACCTTTTAAAAGGTTTGCATCCTTGGCATGACATGGGGGTTGTTAGGAAATTAAGCTTCTCAAGTGATTTGATCAATTCCAAAGTATTCCAATACTTCCGCATTTCTACTCCATTCGTTCAACCCTAACATATTTTCCAAAATTGTTCGTAACATTGTTGAATGCTGTTTATTCGTGTTATGTTAAGAAGCATATAATTGGCGGTTTGGATTTGGAAATGGTATAAATTTGTTTAAAATTTTGAACTAAATTTCTTTCAATATCAAATAAAAGCTTTCAAATGTGTCATTCTTGATAGATTTTGCAATGCTTATAAGCTTTGGCCTTTTGAGTTGAAATTGCTCGATTATTGGGGTGAGATTTTCTTTTAGCACACGTTGAGAAGTGTTATTTACACTTGGTTTTGTACACTTGAGCCTTCTTATAAAAATATAATTGACATTAGTAAAAGAATTTCACAAGTTTGGTGACTAATTTGTCAAAAATATATAAATAAATAATAAAAAATTGACACACTTAATGTAGTATTTGTATTTATGTCTAACCATGGCACGGAATGATATGTTTTGAGTTACAAAGTGGGTGGTGTGATTAATTTGACAAAATTAAATAAATAATTATTATTAATAAAAAAATTGGGTGGTGTGATTAATTTGTCAAAAATAAGTAAATAATTATTTTTTTTAAAAAAAATTGACAAATTTTTTTTGAAAGGCAATGTTAGAAGTTAAATTAGTAGATGTAAAGAGGCTAATACATTTTTTTTTTTGAAAGGTAAGGTTAGAAGTTAAATTAGTAGATGCAAAGAGGCGAAACCTGACATTCCAAAGTCTATCGGAGGTACTAATTCACTGAGTTATTGAGGCATCTGCAAAAATTGGCACACTTAATCTTGTAGTTATATTTATTTATGTCTAATAATCACACAAAGTTGGTGGGTGTGATTAATTTGTCCAAAATAAATAAATAATAATTATTATTATTAAATTTTTTTTTGACACACTTAATCTTGTATTTATATTTATTTATGTCTAAAAATCACAGGGAATGATATGTTTAAAGTTACAAAGTGGGTGGTATAACTAATTTGTCAAAAATAAATAAAAATCGACACACTTAATCTAGTATTTAAATTTATCTATGTCGAACCATCCCATGCATGATGATATGTTGTTAAGTTACAAAGTGTTTGTTGTAACTAATTTGTCAAAAATGAAAAATAATAATAATAATTAATGAATAAAAAATTGACACACTTAATCTTAGTATTTATAGTTATTTAGGTCTAACCAGTACAAGAAATAATATGTTTTGAGGTACAAAGTGGGTAGTGTGACTAATTTGCCAAAAATTAATAATAATAATAATTAATAAATAAAAAATTGACACACTTAATCTAGTATTTATATTTATTTATTTCTACCAATCCAACGGAATGATATGTTTTGAGGTATGGTGTGACAAATTTGTTAAAATAAATAAATAATAATAATAATTAATAAATAAAAAATTTGACATATTTAACTTGCATTTATATTTATGTCCAAGTACTGCACGGAATGATACGTGAGTTGGGTAACATTTTGAGAATAAGGGGTGAAATATTACAGTCCTACTCTATATTATTTATGAACGTTACAATAAATTGTTAAAAAGGGGTGAAAGTTTAATCTGTTATTTTTTTTTTTATTATTACTCATGATGTCCATGTTTCATATTAGTTGTATTATTTGAAAAGTTAAAGCAAAATAATGTCATATTTTTATAATTGTATTTTAAATTTTCAAAAATCTCAAAACCTAGTATTCATGTATTTAAACTTAAAAATGATAACTTAAATTTTTTAAAAGGAAACAATGTACTAATTACATATTAAAAGCAAAAATAGATAACTAATATTAAACCAAGGGAGTATTAATTTAAGATTCTTGAAATCTCTACCATGTGCAAATGAATGATAAATGACAGCATTTTCTGTGAAATTCAAAAAGTCCAAATATTTAATTTTTGTTTGTTCATGAATATTGTAATTTTTTTTTTTCGTGAATTCATGCATTCATCTATGTCCTATCAACAATCAGAGTATAATACACACTCAAACTGAATAGTTTGGAAGTACTTCTCAAAAAACTTGAATACTAAATCTCTCTAGACTCTAGATTCTTCTCGTTGTTGTTTTATTATTATTAATTTTTATTTTTTTTAACACTAGATTCTTGTTTTTAGAGTGTTGCATATGTCTCAGGTTTCCTAGGATTAGCACGGAGTAGTATTTTTATTTCCTCTGTCCCAATAAAAATATCACATATATATATATATTTTTCGGTCTGTACTAAAATAGTTGTCACTTTTCTTTTTTAAATAATATATTTTACATCTTTCTATATATGTTGTTGAAATTTAAAATTTTAAACATTAACATTCAAAACATAGAAGGGCAAATTAGTAACTTTTCAAGAATATAAGACATGCCCCACATGTTCCTTTAAAAATTCTATTCCCAAAAAGCGACATCATCTAAATTGGGACAGAGGGAGTATGAATTTTTAAGAGAACATGTGGAACATGACTTGTCTCCTTGAAAAGTTATTAATTTGTCCTTATATTGAAGTTTGAAATTTTAAACTCCAAGGATATATATGGAAAGATGTAAAATATATTGGTGGACAACTATTTTGGTACAGACCAAAAAGAAAAATATGACATCTTTTTTGAGACAGAGGAAGTAATAGAGAAGTATTTAACTTACAGACCAAAAAGAAAAATATGACATCTTTTTTGAGACAGAGGAAGTAATAGAGAAGTATTTAACTTAACATTAATTAGATTATACTAATAAATATCCTTATTACATCAGTTAATAAGGTCAAAACTTAGAGCGGTCATAAAGAACTGGAGCACTATCAACACATATCTCAGATGCAGAATCAACACCCAGATAATATTCTTAAATTATACTTTCGCCTAGCACTTTTACCATATTTGAAAATGTGTATCAAAAACACCTCTAATTTTTTCATACGTGAAAAAATATTTATCAATAAAAAATCTGACATAAATTTATGCTGTAATATCCGTTTTGTTCTTTTAATTTTTTGAAATGCCCAAGGGAGTATATATTCTATTAATTTCATATTATAGGAGTGGTACGTGCACATTACATTATTTTTTTTTTGAAACTTTTTCTATATATATATCTTTAAACTTTTTTTTTTTGAAACTTTGAGAATTTGTAAACTAAGGATTTGATTTATTTTTTAAAAATTTCAAATTTAATATTTTCTACCAATTTTTTTTTTTTTTTTTTTTTTTTTTTTTTTTCTTTCATACCAACACAGTTAAACCAAAAAAAAAAAAAAAAAAGGAAAAAGATTCCAATATAAGTATGCATTGATTTTGCTTTTTTTTAGTTTGCATTTTATTTTTATTTCTATTTTTCTCTTTACTTTTTTTTTTATATTTATATTTATATTTTCTATTTTTATCTTGTCCATTGCCGACATTCTCCAATAGTATCATTTTCGGTCCTTTTACAAAATTATTTATTTTTATATATTTTATAAAATAGTTGAGTACGGATAATTTTGTCAAATAAGAGTTCAAATTTGTCAGAGAGACTTATTTGCACAAAATTGAAACTTTAAGGATGTTTTTTTACATGCAAGGAGCATTCTTTAATAATGTTATTTTCGATTCTTTTACAAAATTATTTATTTTTATATATTTTATAAAATAATTAAGTAAGAATAATTTAGTTAACTTATAATTAAAATTTGTGGGATGAAATTATTTGTACTGAATTAAAACTTTAGAGGTATTGTGAAGGGTATTATATGCATGGTGTGTAAAAGGTGTTTCTGCTTGACCCTTAATTAAATGACATAAAACGTGTCTGGTGTAATATATGTATGAGATTATAGAAACGCACTAAATACAGAGACACAGACAAGAAACAGAGACAGAGAAGGAAATGGTAGAGAAGAAGCAAAAGCTTTGCGAAGTAATGGAACTTAGATTTCATAAAAAGTGGTGTGTTGTAATTGTCTCCATCTTTTTAATCTTACCATTATCTCAATCCTTGGACTATGGCGAAGCTCTCAAGAAGAGTCTCCTCTACTTCGAATCGCAGCGTTCGGGTCGCTTACCGTACAACCAGAGAGCCACTTGGCGACACCATTCCGGCATCACCGACGGCTTAGAACAAGGAGTTAGTCCATTTTCACCACAACCCATTACTCAATTAACGCTTCTCTCTCTAAATTCATCTTAAGCCTCTTGTTTTCTCTCTCTCTCTATATATGTATATATATTGCAGGTGGACTTGGTGGGAGGGTATTATGATGCTGGTGACAATGTGAAATTTGGTCTGCCAATGGCTTTTACAGTAACAATGCTGTCGTGGGCCGTCATCGAATACGGCGAGCAGATATTCGCCGCCGGCGAGTACAGTAACGCTCTTCAGGCCATCAAGTGGGGGACTGACTATTTCATCAAAGCTCATCCTCACCCAAATGTTTTATGGGCTCAGGTAAAATTATTTACTTACTACTACTGCCAGGTTTATGATCAATAATTATTTGTTTTTATTACTACGTAGTATAAAAAAGGAGCATTAAATATATATTTTTTCTTTGAAAATTTCGAAATTTATTCTTGAAAGTTTTGAAATTTACTCGATTATTTGGGTGAAGATCTCAAAACATAACAAATATTTGGAAAGAGTTTTAATTTTTTTAAAGTGATGTTTAATTCGAGAAATAAGATTAACAGTTAATTTGAAAGGAGACATTCTACATTTTTGTAGACCCACGCGCATTCAAGGGAGAGTGAAACTCCTCCAATCGCGCCGGAAAGCGGCTTGCAGTTTGACTATCTGTGTCATTGCAACCGTTTAGTCACGCATTGATTTCAGGGTTGAATTACCTTTTTATCATTTTTAACTTTTATCTAAAAAAAAAAATTTAATTAAAAAGTGAGTCTCTTTTACTTTAATAATTTTGAAATTATATCAGCTGTCATTATTTAACTACTTATTAAACTTGTACCACAAATGGTAACTAGAAAAAGTAAGATTTTCAGGTGGGCGAGGGGTACACTGATCACTACTGTTGGCAACGGCCGGAGGACATGACGACATCACGGCGAGCTTATAAAATAGACGAAAAAAACCCCGGCTCGGATCTGGCCGGAGAGACGGCTGCGGCAATGGCGTCGGCATCAATTGTGTTTAGGAGAACAAACCCACACTACTCTCACCTTCTTTTGCAACATGCACAACAGGTAAGTTAGGAGGAGTTGGTTAATAGTCCCAAGTCTTATATATATATATATATATATATAAAATTAGGATTAATTATAGTAAAATGGAGTTTTGTTGTTGCAGTTGTTTGAGTTTGGTGACAAATATAGAGGGAAGTATGATGATAGCATTGGGGTTGCAAAAGGTTACTATACGTCGGTGAGTGGGTATATGGATGAGTTGTTGTGGGCAGCTTTGTGGCTATACAAGGCCACCGACAGAGACCAGTATCTGAATTATGTTATTGACAAGGCCCATTCTTTTGGTGGGATCACTTGGGCCATCCAAGAGTTCAGCTGGGATGTTAAGTATGCTGGTGTTCAAATTCTCGCCTCTCAAGTAAACCATCTATCTTCTCATTATTTATTTATTTATTTATTTTTACTTTCTAGCTAGTTCTAATAGTTTTTAATTGAAAATTCCACAATTTGAATGTCCAACTTGTGACTTGGAGACTAGTCACAACTCCGTGGTAAGCCCCCACAAGTGGTGGTCAGTATTTGCAATGCTCGTGTAAGTGAGAGGGTTTAAGTCGTTGAAGTAAATGGGAAGTGTGAGTTTCTTGAAAGAGGGTCAACCCAATTAAAGTGAATTTCTTAATCTATAACTTTTGATTGGTCCTGTTTATTAAATATAAGGAAGTGAAGGGTTTACTTCCTTATACTTTTATATACATGGTCAATTAAAAATTATACGTCAAGAAATTCACTTTAACCACTCAACCTAAAAATCATTTTCTTTCCAAAAAAGAAAATAATGGCTCCACAAAAGGGCTATGAGTATTTGCAATGCCGCATTTTCGTAGATTTGGATCCTCTCCAACCAAATTTTTCTCTCGGACTTTCCAACCTCAATCACGTTGTCCAACTTCGGCATTGCGCGTCATCATTGGGTCAAAGCACAAATTGGAAAATATGACTTTGACAAGGTAATGATGTGACTCAGCATGTTTGGTCAAAGTACATGGTGGGAAATATGTCACAACTAATTTGTATGCATTAGACTTTGATAAGGTGATAACCTGACTTAACATGGACCACAAAATTAAGGTTTGTGAAGCCGAAGAGGAAGTGTGCAAAGTCTAGAAGAGAGATTTGACTTGAGAGGATTCTTATATTTCAATCAATATATATATATTTTTTTCATAATTTATACCCGTTGAAAATTATTTACACTAAAAAAAGGAGCCTAACTAAATCTAATACTTTGGGAGGCAATATGGCCAAATTGATCAATATATAATTTTTTATTTTTAAAAAGTGAGCGTTGGAGTTGAAATAGAGAGAAATGGTAAAAAAAGAAAAAAAAGAAGTCAAATTTCGTAATAATAACTACATTTTTCCTCTTATATTTTGTTGCAGTTGCATATGAAAGGGATGCACAAAGAGTACAATGACATTTTAGGACAGTACCGCTCAAAAGCAGAGCACTACGTATGTGCGTGTCTCAACAAAAACAACTCCACTGATAATGTACAACGCACCCCAGGCGGACTCCTGTACATCCGGGAATGGAACAACATGCAATACGTCTCAACCGCATCATTTCTTCTGATGGTCTACTCTGATCATCTTCAATCCTCCAATCGGACGCTCAACTGCCACGGAGGAGAATCGGTGGGCCCACAAGAGATACTCCATTTCGTCAAATCACAGGTCAACTACATCTTAGGCTCCAATCCAATGGGCATGAGCTACTTAGTGGGCTTTGGCCCAAAATACCCCCAGAAGGTGCACCACAGAGGAGCATCTATTGAATCATATAGGGAGAGCAAAGATTTTATTGGGTGCACTCAGGGGTATGATAACTGGTATGGACGGCAAGATCAGAACCCTAATATTCTTGTTGGGGCCCTAGTTGGTGGGCCAGATGAAGAGGATCAATTCAGGGATGATAGAGGGAATTACAGGCAGAGTGAGGCCTGCACTTACAATACTGCACCTTTGGTTGGGGTTTTTGCTAAATTGCATGAATTAGAAGGTAGTATGAGACGTGTTGTAGATCCATACCATCTTCTAGCTAGATATGTTAAAAAGGAAAAAATTTGTGGGTTTTACATGAGAATCAATGTGATGTAATCCCTTCGTGTAATAAATTATATACAAAGTGAGATATAAAAGATGGTATTACCTTTTTATTTTTTTAAAGTAGAAGATTGATGGTTCAAGTTCATAAGAAAAAAAAAAAAAAAAATTGAGTTTTTCTTCTTACAGAACAAAAAACAAAAAAGTCAGTTTATATAAAACAAGCCCAAAGACTTTTATTCATTTTTTTTTCCTTTCTAAGTATGCATACTATTTGAATCTACATATTCAAAACCCAACCTTAATTTACTGCTAAAATCAAGGTAGTTTAATTTTCTTTGCTATAGAGTATATAATATAAGAACATAATTGATACGATATACTAATATAAGAACATCTTTTTTCTCGTGACTTGCTAAGAGAATTGATGAAATTGGCATTTAGTTTATGCTTTGAGTGATGAATACAAAGGTTTTGGTTGTGTGTCTTGTGTGAATGTGATATTGTATATTATTATTATTATTATCATCATATACGTGAGAGTAATTGTGGATGAATGAAGAGAGCACAAGTGCAGTAGCTGGGAAAAAAGTAATGGTATTCACGGATTGTATTGTCTTTAAATAGATAGTTCTGGAATTCAACAAGATGCAAGTGACACATTTGTTACCTCCTTTAATTGCGGAGTTTCGCAATGCTTTAAGCCAAATCTTAAAGATACAAATTCCACGTTTACTGACCTATTTTTGTGCGTGGACGGTTCACAAAAGTCCACGTGGATCACGCCCATATATCGTTAATCAAGGAGGATTTAATGCTATCTTCTTTTGATAAACTATGTGATTTTTTTTTTTCAATATATGTCACGCGCTCGAAATAGTTATGATATACACGTAATAATAATACCTGATATTAAAAGGGCTTAGCCCACATAATAGTATAATACTAAATACTTGATATGTATGATCGATGTATGAGTACTTAGTTGACTGTGGAGTACTTTGCAGTCTTTTTAAGTCTTGATTGATGATTTGATATATAAACACAATATATAAGACTCTTACTAATTAGCAAATGGATACGAATTCACGCAATCTTAGTTTATGCTGTAAATGGCAGGTGTACATTATTAGGGATGGCAAAATTTCTCATCTCCGCGGAGCCTTCTTCATCTTGAAGTAATTTTGGAAAATCAATTATGTAAATGGGATCAAAGATTGGGGGCTTTGAAAAGTCGGACTTTGGGGCGATTTCGGAAAAGGGTTGTCCTGCCCCGTCCTGAATATATTATAAATTTATTAAATTGTTGTCCCACCCAACCTTGAATATATTATAAATTTATTAAAATTTTCTTACATACTATCATAACTCTAATTCAATCAACCTAAACATAATTTAAGCTTAACAAAATATGCTTAGATTAACTCAAATTGAAAATTGAAATTTTAGTTGATCTGGATTAAAGATTTTTTTTTTTTGAATGGTAAAGCAAAACACACACACACATACTCTTTTGTCCAAGCTCAAGTTGGTGGTGCTCAAGTTGGTACCACCGCTAGGCCATAGACCTTTTGATTAAAGAAAATTTATTGTTTAGACATGTTAATTTAACTCCTCGTGCTTAAAAAATTCTATTTTTATTGTAATTAGGAATAGGTCTAAGAGAGAAAAATGCATTGTCATTCTTATAATAAAACCTCAAGAAAGGCGAGTTAGTTATTAATCTTGTAATCTTTCATTGTAAAACGAATTTATGAGTAAGAACACCCGCCATATTATTATATTTATATATAGTATTCACCATTAACATGCATGTTAAGATTGAATCGGTTTTAATAAATACTAATATAGTTTGCGTGGATTGCAGCTTTTTATTTTATTTTATTTTATTTTTTATTTTTATTATTATTATTTTTTATCTCAGTCAAAGAGGGACAGCGAGCTATAGCTCTCATGAGAGAGAAAAATTCATTGTCATTCTTATAATAAAACCTCCAAAAAGGCGATTCTTTCCTTGTAAAATGAACTTATTATGACTAGAATACCCACCATGTTATAATATAAATATTATATATAGTATCACCATTAACATGCATGTTAAGATATATTGAATCGATTTAAAAATATACTAATATATAGTATCACTGCATTAAGATTGAATCGGTTTAAAAATATACCAATATACTTCAATCCTCACGTGCGTGTATGTGAGCTAGCTCTCATAACTTCACACAATTTCATATACAGAGTGTGTTTATATTGACTAATGTAAATCACAACCTTTAGTCTTTAACATTATTTCTTACCCAAAAAAAAAAGAAAAAGAAAGAAAAAAGAGCACTGTCCAACAAACTCAGTTCATCTCTTCGATTAGTAGCTCGATCATTAATTCACAGCTTAAGCAACAATTTACAACACTTATACAACTACGTACTTCATTACATAATGTACATATCACTATATCACACTTATACACAGTGACGGAGCCATAATTTCAAGTGAGGGGGGCAAAAAAAAAAAAAAAACAATACGGAGTACATATATATATATATAACAACTATAAAATTCAAAAAGACAAAGAAGAAAAAATTAATAAAATATAAAAGAAAAGAAAAATGAAAGAAATTTAATAGAAAATAGTTAAAAAGTTTCAATTGAGGAAGAAAAATTTGACTTTTTTTACTAAGGAAATTTAAGGAATGTGAAGAGTAAAAGAAAAAATAAGAATATAATTTTAGGAATTACAAATTTGAGGGAGGCACTATATAATTTTTTCATATATATGAATTTTTTTTTAAATATTACCACATATATTATAGGTTGTTTACCAACTTAGGGGGACACGTGCCCCCTAAGCCTTCATTGGTTTCATCCCTGCTTATATCAATACATCCTTATTTATAGCGTTGCACCTCATCGTACGTACGTAAGACTGTTGCACTGGGATATATACTACTTCATTACAACCTTATTTCATATTGTCACATTCGTCCGTGTGTGAGTGTGTGTTGTAAATTTCATTAAATCCTGTGAAAGGTGCCCTTGCCAACGGGCCCTTTATACGTTTCCTTGATAACTACTTTCCTTGCTTCTTTCCTTCCTATATCCCTGAAATATCAAACCATCCACAAATTATACCCAAAAGTAAGTCACTCTACATTAAGTCTTAATTAATCATCTTTATATATGTATATATAAAGGACTAAGTTTTTTTTTTTTTTTTTTTTTTTTTTTTTGTATAAATTATACCAATTGATACAAAACCAAAAAAAAAACAAAAAAACAAAAAAAATGTTACCCTGATGGGTTTGGGGAAATAGGCTGTAAACCGGTTGATCAGCGGCGCACGTGATGAGGTGTATAGGTAAAGAAGATGGCGATCCATGATAACTACGGTGGTATTGAGGACACCAGTCCTATTGAATGATAAAAAGATACAACTGGAGATGTAGGAGGAGGAGAAGATCGAGTATATCAGTTACCGACAACTATACATACATGAGATGTTGTATTACACGTGTCTTAGCTTCGTGTCTGTTTTAGTCCACCATTGCACTGTCAACATGTCAAAGCCAGAAGATGGCCACTGCCTTAAAACCATGCAATGCTTTGAATTTTGTTTTGTGTTGGGCTGTCTGTGGTGTTAAAAGAGAGGGCATCAAAACAAACCGAGCCTAGTTAATAGTATTAAAATTCATAATAATATTTCCATAACACGTGTCAATTTCTTCTTATATTTCTGTCCTTTCTTCGCTAATTTAATCGTATTTATATGTTTTATGTAATTGTTATTTACTTCAACATTGATTTTTAGTTTCTATTATTTAGAATTGTTAAGTTTTCAATTTGCTTTTAAAAAAAAAAATACTAAAATTTTAAAACAGTTCCAATTTTGATCACTAGCCCACAAACCTCGCCAACAAAGTTATAACAATATATACAAATTTCAACATTCTGCTGACAGTTCAGATCAAATTTCAAGCAAATAACATATCGATGCTGCACGGCAAGTCATGGATTGTTGATTACCTTAACACTCAAAACTTGAAGAGAAATAAATTCTTGCAATCCTTAAAAGTTACTTCCAAGCTCTGTTTGGCACTCAGAAACAGTGGGAGAAAGGAAAAGGGGAAGGACAAGGACGAGGAAGGGAAACTAAAAGGCTTTTCTTGCATGCAATGGTGATTAGGTGGTGTATATACAAAACTTACATACACAAAACAAAAACACAAAATGTGTTTACATTGAGAAATACAGAGAGCAACTTGATTGGTGATCTGTAGAAATACCTCATATACCAGTGATGTTGATTCAATGTCAAAGAGGTTCTTTATTGGATCATTCTCAGCAATTGGAGCTTGACAATGGAAAGTCACAGTAACTTACTTACATGGGACTTTGAATTTTATTAAAAAAAAGATAGTAAAACACACGCACATAAATAACCTGTGAAGATAAAGTTATTCTTAAACATTGCAACCCTTCACTAATACTGTATTATTCAGCCAACTTCCCAATGTAAGAAACCAAACTATTATCCCTATTAAACTGCCAGTAATACCCTTTTAATTCATCAAAATGAAACAATAATAATAATTAAAAAAAAAAAAAAAAAAAACTAAGAATAAAACAAGCCAATAGAAGCGCAAAGAAATGTGCTGCAAAGCACCAGCAGGTTCCCAAAAAGAAGATACTTAACCCCCAATTTATTTGTGGTTCATGGCCTACCCCAAACACTGACCTAACCATCTAACTGTGGCACTTAAAATTCTCTCTGCATATTCAAAACTCATTTTTCTTCATGCTCCTCATCCTTCTTCGGTCCATAAAGACGATTAAACTTGGCAATCTGCCCAGCACTCTTAGCCATCTGGCGTCTCGCTCTGAGGTGATAAACTTTACCAACTTGGTGTATTTTGGTCATCGTAACATTCATCAATCGACCACTCTGTGTTACATAGGATATCCATTGCAGTTGAGGGTGTATCCCTTTCTTCATTTTCGACTAACTGCAATTCAAAAGAAACTTATTTGAAAGAGACATTGCAACAACTTTCTAATTCCATAAATAAACAAATTATTTCCTAATAAACTGATGGATATAATTGACAATTGTTACAAATTTATTACTAATTAGTAGAACAAAGAAACTAATATTAGGGTTAATGGAACAACATTCAATAGTTTTAAACATGATGCTTGGATCACTTTCATCATTGGAGACTTGGGAGAATATATATGTACAAGTACATTCAGAATCACTCTGCCGGTATGCTTCCTCCTGCTCACCAAGAAAGAATAGTGACAACCTTTGGTTCAAATTTGAGCATGGGAGCTGATTAAACCCCCCTCCCCCAAAAAAAAAAATCTTAGTAATGAAAACTATGAAGGACTACATGCAAGATCCAATAGTGAACAGCTGCCCAAAGGAAAAAATTCTGTGTCACTCCGAGAACTTTTGGTACTGTACTCTACCCCAATGTGCACATATAGTCTGGTCTGCTACAATATGCTATTCAAATATTTCCAACAGCCCTGCCATCTGTTATGTGTTATAAAGTCAAAACAATTGTCTGAGTTTGTGAATTGTATTCAAACAATCTAATTTCAAAAATAAATTTGCCCACGAACTCAATGTTGGTATCTTAAATCAACACCCATTTTCACACCCAATAAATAGCAAGCAATAAAGACAGCTTCAATATGTGCATAGTCAAAACGCAAGTTTCCAAGACACGCATTCACAAACTTATGTTAGGGGCATTTCATCGCATACCTGGAGGCCAAATCAAAAGATACAAAAAAATATAGAATAAGTTAACATACAATGTTTAAAAAGATATACGTGCGTGTGTTTGGACTTGATTAAAGTTACAAAATAAAATTTCATCTTAACAACAGCTACAACTAAAAGTATTTAAATGTGATTAAGAAATGAATCACCAACATATTATCTACATATTACATACACAATTGGTATCTCGCACATATGCATATACATATATAACTGTTGATGACTGTGCCATGCTTGTTGTCCAAGTGGCGCCACTTCTGAAAATAGGCACACCTGGCCAATATTTGTTTGGCGTACCTCACCCCTAAAAGGGGGGCAAGTGTCCTCGAGCCACTTGTCCCAAGACCGGACTTGCTAAACGAGGAGAGGGTCGCTACCCTTCCTCGCCTAGGGATGCGCCCCGGCAAGTGTCCTCGAGCCACTTGTCCCAAGACCGGACTTGCTGAACGAGGAGGGGGTCGCTACCTTTCCTCGCCTAGGGATGCGCCCCACTCCAGTCGGATGGGCCCACCCTTTCTGTTTGTTCGAGGTCGCCACCTGCTAGAGCGACCTCGAGGTTTCCTGCTCTTCCGAGGTCACTCCCTGCTGGAGTGACCTCGGGCTTCCTACCCTATAAACCTCTCTTTCTTTACGGATAGAGGGATTTTGAGGTGTTGCCGGAAGGTGTCTCCGTGAGGTTAAGAAGGCAGAACCTCGGAGGAGGCCCTTTCCCATACCAGATTTGGGAATCCAAGGGTACGTGGACAGGTGGCTGAGGTCTAAGGCACCGCCTCAGTCCAAGGTCAATACAAGGGGGAAAGGACATTCAGTACTTGAACTCGAGCTATGGGTGATGAAGAGGACATTAATTATAAAAGATATTTGATAAGATCCGCATTAATTAAGGAGCACCATTACTCTTTTGGATCGGGGGCAAAGCGCCGCGGTCCATCTGTCAACGTCTCATCTGTCTTGACTATAAATAGGAGCATTAATCAGCCTTTAAGGCAGGTAACAAACATTAGTCTCATAATTTTGAAGTTAAGCTCAAGTTTATCATTTACCGAGGTCGGCCTTCCCTTTCTTAATCTTCACCATTGAAGAATCCTTTGTGTTGCTTGGATCTCCGCTTGGACATTGATTTCAGGTCTCCTGACTCACGTTGAACGATATCCCCATCCTACTAAGAACTACCTTCAACAATAACAAATATATATACATATATAACATATATATATATATATATACATATACATATAGGACCGTTCACCAGCTGACTGGTGTGTAAGAAATTTATGCACGAAATAAACTTAACTGTTGAATATAAACACACATATACTGAATCGAATACAAGAAAAACATGAAAAAGCTACGAAGAAAAAAAGAAAAAGACTCGCTCACCTTGTTTTTTTGATCTGTGTGACTGATCACTTTGTGTTCTTCGTCATAAGGGTTCGTCTAAAGAAGGATGATATGAGGACGACTTCTCTGCCCTTTTCCTTCCCTTCTATTCTCTTTTAGAAATGGAAAATGAGTAAATGACCCTCATTTATATTAGTTTCCAGAAATGACCTCCAACGTCAGTTTGCTCTTCAAAAATACCCCCACTAGAACTTGCCAGATGGTTAGATATACCATGCGGATTTTTTTTGTCAAATTACGTCACTCAGTTTAAGACTCGAAAACCACGAAGGAAAAGGAGTATTCAAGGATTTGCTTTGGGAGAAGAAAATAGAAAAGGAAAGAATTTCAATGATTTTAATGTAATGTTTTCAAATTTTCTTATAAAACAGTGAGAAAATGTTAAAAGACAACGCCAACCACCTGAACGGTTGAACCTAGGGCTGCACACGGTCAACTAGACCGAACCATAATGTCCATGAAACCAACCGAAACCAAATCGCAAAAAATTGATTTAGTTTGGTTCGGTTTATCGGTTTAAGTTGATTTCATTTTTATTTTATTTTAATTTAGAGGGGGCAAAGTTTTTAAAAAAATAAAATAAAAAATCAACTAACATTGATATAACACGCCAAAAAAAAAAAAAATTTTAAGAAGAAATAAAGGAAAGAAAATTGAGATATATTTGAAAGGAAAGAAAATGAAAATATATTTGAAAAGGGAAATTTGACTTTTTTTTAAAAGAAATTTAAGGAATTTAAAGAACAAAAGAAAGGGGGCACGTGAGAACTTTACTTGATTTAGGTTTAGGATATGATATAAATATATAAATATATATATATTATATAACATAGTAACGGTAGGCCAATCTAACATGACCCTAAACCAGGACCGGACTGAAAAATTACGATTCCATAATTTTGGATCCAGGACCGGACCAAACTGCCATACAACTAGCCCAAACCGTCCAATTCAGTACGGTCCGGTCTGATTTTTAGATTTACTGGATTTTTTGAACACCCTTGCCTCCCCAGAACAATCAAATTGCTTGAAAAAAAAATCACTAAAATCCTAACACTATACCATATGACTAAATTGTTTTAAATACGAAAATTTTGGGATATTTCGCAAAGGGAATAATGATTAATGACTGCATGTGTGTAATTTACTTATCAAAACCAATAAAATAAAAAACAATAATCAATAGCTAAAGAATTTTACAACTTCTATTTGCAGAATTTATAAGATGAATAATTGTCAAATATAAGAGTATTTTGAGTGACAATTGTATCAATTTTTTTAGGAAAAAAGAAAGTAAATAGATTATAAGAATATTTTCATAATATGAATATCATTCCCATTTAAAGTAAATAGATAAGTAATTTATTTCATCACCAAGTCAATAAAGAGTCAAGTGTGGGTACACATATCCATGCTTAGCACTGATTAATGGTTGTTTCAATTATTTTCAGTTTACTTATGAACGTGGCTTCTAAAATTATTCTGTCATGTGTTGAATGCTGAAATTTGACATGATTCAATGTTTTATTTTATTTGAAAATGCAACCAGCGTGATACAGCATAATATAGAGTTACTGCCAATGGGTACTCCATTGGGGAAGAAATTGGGTGCAACACCGTATTCATCTAATGAAAATGAGACACATTAACTATTTGTCTATATATATATATATATATATCCTCCGCGAAGGGTCGGTCTGCCTCTTGATCCAGAATTATAGTATATCAGAAACTGAATCCGTAACTACAGGTGATCTTGTAGGAATTTGATACTCAAACATCAAACCTTTACTCAGTAACAATTAATCACAAAGCATCACAGACAAAGACCCTATTATCAGCAATTACACCATAATGATTCTAAAATCTCAAACAAACAGATACATATAGCTCTTCAGAGCAAACAGTACCTAGTTTTTTTACATAAACCCACAAAGCGCAAGCAAATAGAACATCAAAGCTAATAATATGCATACAACATAGACATAACCTCAATACCAAGCCTAGTTTCCTTTATTTAGGGACAATTCACATCAGAACGCATACAAAGTCCAATAGCACACTGCTATAGTTGATATAGACATACTTATAGACCACCGTTCTGTTCTTCAACGCCCAATTCTCCGTGCAGAACTAGGCATTCTTGTGAAGGACGGGAATCTTTGTTAAAGGGCTTCTACTTCAAGGGGTTGAAGTGTGATATCTGGCTCCTCAAGCAAGATCTGAGTGACACCTCCATTTCCATCATCACCACAACCAATGCTTTCAAAAATAAGAGCTTTCACTTCTTGGAACCTCTCTTCAGAAAGGGAGACCTCAGCAAGGAGCCTCCAAGCATTTTCATCAGACGCCTCTTCATAGTCCTTCTTCCTTTTCAAAACCATATGCCCGCTAATTTCCCAAACTGCTGGGTTCACTTGGGTGTCCAGAAGATCAGGACTCACTTCCCCGAGAGCCTGTCTCTCAGCATAACACTGTGCATTTGTTCACCAAGAAGAAAAACCCAAGGTTTAGTGTTCAAAACTGAAGCAGCAATTGACACGGCTTATAAAGAAGGATAGAACAAAGAAAGATATACACAAAGAAATATCTGATTTGAATGATAATACCTGTGGGAGGAGAAAGATCCGTTTCCCAGAATCAGAGATAAGGACATTGTAAGGAATGTTGTTATCTTGAAGGCAAATGCAGGAGTCGGAGACGACATTGGACAAATCTTGCAGAGTATGCCCACCCTCGAAAACAAGACCTCTGACAGGATAGTTTAACAGCTCAGAAATTTTCACCCCATTAGTGGGAGTTGTTATCTTCTTAGTGGAAGCCTTCTCAATGGGAAAGGGCACGGCCAAGTAATATGCCTGTTGAAAAATTATAGAATTGCCTTTCATTAATTTAAGTACTAGATATCACGAGCCAGTTCTATAACAAGTTTGTGAAGTAAAAGGAAAGGCAAATAAGAACCTGGAAGTGAAGGTGGTTGATGGTAGCAAATGCACCCAAGCTATTGTAACCCAATCGAAAGTATGGGTTCCCTGCTTCTGCTGCCATGTAAAGTGCAAGCAAGAAGCTTTCATGGTCAATCTTCTGTGGCAAGCACTCAAGAATCCGTGGGATCAAAAGAACATGCCCGTATTCAATGGGACTAACCTGTTAAAATCATATACAACAAACAACCGCTTACTGCAGCCTTCCTCCATATATAAATTCCTTAGGAAATGAAGAAGAAGAATCAAACTACATACATTTATGGCAACAACACTTGGAGAATTCTCGACATCAATGGGTGCATTGGGGAAGAATTGAACTTGATCATCTTCGCTTGCTTCAAACTGGAATAGCACCTCTTCCTGTCCAACTTTAGTGAAGTTGAATTTTTTCCCATCAAATGGTTGGAGAACCCTATCGACTCGAAATTCAGTGGGCCTCTTGTTTAGGTGACGGCCCTCGTTCAGCTGTGCAATGAAGCCAAATTCTCCGGGAATCACCTATACCAACATTATCAAACATTGAGATAAAATCCAAACATCATACTATGGTGCTCTACGGTCTTGGGCATGTTAAATTGACTATTATTGGAACCGAAATAAAATGATATAAGACCTTGGTTTGGCAGGCAGTGACATCATAGCGGAATAGCCCTCTCTGCATACGGTCCTCCCACTACCATCAAGTGGTAAGAAATTTTAGCTGACAATGACGATTGATAAATACTTTAAAAAATTGCTTAGAAACTCGAAAAAAATCGTACCTCCCCAAGAATGAGGGAATCCAAGAAGGCAACTGGAGGCTCTTCGTTATCATAGCCAAGCAAACCCTTTTCACTACCAATCTTGTTCGTCCTCTTGAAGGCATACAAAGGTAACTTTGCCCCTAATTTAAAACCCCAAATTAATTAAAAAACAAGAAAATTATACTCCATTTCAATCATAGAGATATAGAAGTTAAATTTAGAATCACAAATTAATGAAATTAAGACCCAGAAAGATTATACCTCATTCAATCACAAAGATTTAAAAAAGTTAAATGAGTATTTTAACAAATACCTGTAATGCAACACTTGTTGAGGCAATTCCGGCCACAACCGCCTCCGTGGCGAGCAGCTTCCTCCGCCTCTTCCTTTTGGTAATTGGAAACAACAGTTGGAACCCTCTTGATGCTCAACATTTTTGAATCAACAAAAACACACAGACACACACCAAGCCCAAAACAATACGCACTAGAAAGATCGATATTAGCTAGAACAACTTTAAAAGATACTTAAAATACTCTTTTAACTAATATAGACCTAAACTAACAGGAGGAGATCAAAGCGCCACCGCCGGCGAGGAAGAGGAGGTCGGAAGGGCTACCGCCTTCGGAAGGCAGAGCGCCACGTCCGCCGTGCGGCGAAGGGTTGCTCTCAATTACACAACCATCGCGTCGTCCTGAGCGGACATGTATGAGTGGCCGAGAAACTCTGTATATAGCCGTGATGTCTACAACTTGTCAACACTGGGTTTTAACCCCAAATCTGAAAATTGAACCCACTGCTTTTCTCTCCGATCCGAAACCCAGTTCTTTTCCGCCAAAACACACACAAGAAAAGGGATGCCTTTTTTTTGTTTTAACTCTGATCGCAAGAAACAGGTGGGTTTAGAATGTGATCGTTTGGTGTTCGATGTTTGCTCTCTATTGGGGGTGAGGAGATGAGACACAGCGAACGGGAGATATATAGATAGAGGGTGTGCGATGGAGGGAGAGATACTGTATAGTCGTACGGACTTGCTTGGGACCACTGAAATCTACGAATAGGCAAATAATATGGTATTTTGTAATAAAATCATGGAATTAGAATTGGAAATAAATAAATTAATTTATGCTCCGTTTGAAATCAATTGTTTTTCGGATTTCGAATTAGAATTGGAAAAGAATCGGACGTAATTAAAATATGATTTTATTTACAATTTAGAATAAATTGGACTTTGTAAAATGGAACTTGAAAAAAATATTTTAATTTTGTACCATTTTGAATAAGACACTTAAACATGTGAAACTGTTAAAGTTAGTTTATCGAACAGGAGATATTAAAGCATATTGTAGCGATTGTTGGTGTGTAATTTTAGTAAGTTAATAATTAGTTATCAAATCCCTTCAATTTTTCGTGATGTTACAATGTTTCCTCTAAAATTTCATTAATTCTCATTTTCTTTTCAAATCTTGTTGACCCAAATAACTCAAAATTTTCTTGAAATCCAATTTCCATGAAATCGTGGAATAAGGAGATAAACAGAATAAATCAAAAAAGAAAAGAAAAAGAAGTCTTATTTGAATATTAATCTATTTAAACTATCAACTTATATTAAATAAATAAATTATGAAATTGAGGTATAACTAGAGGTATAACTAGAGGCATGTGGATATGGGTGATATAGGTGTGTGTTTTAGTTTTCAGCAAAGCAAAATAATAATAATTTTAAGATTTCAACTTAAAAATAAGTTTAATCAGAAATTAGAGAAGAATAATGGAGTGTATGATACTCTAACAATTGACTATGATGATAATTTCTGAAATGAACTTAATTTTTAAAAATTAAAGAATTTAAAATAATAATGAAATGTGTGGGAGCTATTTAACATCAAATAGAGTTAAAGAGAGTTTTTGCAAAATAAAAATGGAAAAAGAATGGATTAAAGCACACCAAAAGAAAGTTTTTCTTTTTCAACCTTGTGACATTTACATTAACTGCCAAAAAAAAAGGGAGGAGGAGAAGGAAGTTAACCTCATATTATGTAATGCAATCATTTACCTAAAAATAAAAAATTAAATATATAAATAAAAGAAGAAGAAGAAGATGTAATGTAATGATTACATAGCGAATTATAAATGAGGAAATTTCTTTACAGTAAAGTCCAGGTTGAGGAAATTTCGTTATAGTTATACCAACAACCACCGGGAAGAAAAGTAGTAGATGAAGCCACAAGTACCTATCGGCCGGTAGTGGCGTGGCTTGCCCTGGGCTTCCTCGGATATTTCTCGTGATATACGCCAGCTGACCCATCAACAAATGTCTGGTCCTCGTGCTCAACACGTGTTTTCCTAATCATACCATTTCTCTGAGCAACTCAATCTTTCATTATTTTTTTAAGATTAAAGACTTGTTATGATCATTATCCAAATTCTAGTTTTTTTTTTTTTTTTTTTTTGGGGTGGGGGGGGGGGGGGGAAGGGGTGGCCGCGGCGGCGGGGGGCCTTTGCCCTGACTAATTTTTAAGGGACTGGAATAATGATACCTCTTGATTCTGAGTCGGGTAAGTTTTGAAATGTGATCGCAGAGGTGTAGGCCCAAAATATTATTTGCATTAAGTGGAAACTAATCAAACTTTCAAATCTAATACTTTATGAGGCACCTTGATCAAATGATATAGTGTTAGAGGTGTCTCACATTGGATTCAAATAAGAATTGAATTGAATATAAATGAGTGTTGAGTTGGTATGCAATATTACACAATAGTTTAAGTTTTTGAGAAAACGGGCAAGCGCTCATATGTATAGTTGGCATCAGAGTCAGTTCTTGAACCAGTGTCATGCCAAACACCCGGCTTGAAGGGGTCCGAATTGTACAATGGATAGACAGATTGGCCCGACCACAACGAAGGTGTTGCAAGTTGGAGTGAAAAAGAATGTTTGTGTTAGAATATATTATCACTATACCATATAATATATTCTAACCTTGTTTTATATTACCATATATATAGTTACCATATGCATATAAGGTTTACTTGTTCATCATACATAATCCCTCCTATATAAACCCCTCTTATATACATCAATATAATACAGAGTTTTATATTCTCTCTTTATTTCTAACCGATTGAAACGTTACACCTAGCCTTCAATTATGTTTTTTGTTAGAAATTTATCATCGGCCTACTAGTATTATTTTTAGATGGTCCATGCACCCTTTTTGGTTTTTTGGCATATAAATTAATGTACAAAAAAGCTTAAAAAAACAGCTTATGAATTTTTGGGTTAACAAGCTAGTAAACAGACGACCAGGAAAACTTTGGTGCGCTTGGTATACCATGTACATGATTAGAACTATGGGTGTAAAACATACGTTAGCGTGCGTACATCAGAGATGATTCTAATTAATCTGGTGAACGATGCACCTGAATCTTTGTTCATATTGTGGGCTCTCATACAACTTTGTACCAATTAAATTGTCCAAGAATGGAGGCAAACTTAGGTATATGCATGAGAACAAAGTAATGTCACCTGGTCTTTTATGGTCTTGAATGCACAGGTCCATAAATACACATTGTATGTCGCATAACCCGGTTTTTTAAATTTCTATTTTCATTTTACTTTTTAATTGCCTATAAAAAGGTAGCTACAAAAAGCAACAGTTTGATAAGAATATCGATGATTTGATGGTAATTTTCTAGCAATATTCATACATCAAATTCCATATATGATTGTTCAATAACCCCTCCAATCTGGATTGAATCCTATGTATATGGTCCTTATCCGACCGTATACCATTGAAGTCAAATCTTATATGAAACTTGATCTATTTAAGAATTGTCAATATTCAAAGTCGACCCGATTCTATATTGGATCTTTGCTGGAAGACTCATATATGACCCATTTTTTATTTTTTTAAACCTAAATCAAAGCATGTTAATTTTTTATTAACATCTATAAAAATATTAGAATATACTTAAAATTGGATCGAATTAATATCAAATTATTCTCACTTCATTCTAAGTTAACCTAATAGGTTTCTTTCTTTTTCGAAGAAAACTAAAAAAAAATAACTAATGCTCATTAATTTAGTCTGAACAATGGCTTTGGGGGAACATTTAATTGAATGAACATGAGTTTACAAAATACTAGTTTATCAGAAGTATTTTACATTTAAAAAAAATTCCAAAATCTATTCCCAAATATGCTTCAAACACCATTTGTAGGGGTTCTTATGGTGATATCAAGAGCACAATGTAAGAGACTGCAGATGACGTGGATCTAGATGGAGGAGGAAAAACAGACAAACCAGTGAGAATATTGGTGGAGGTATGGATGTTATCCTAGGGCCAGTTTGGTAGAATGGAAATGGGAGGAAAGGAAAAGAAAAGAAAAGAAATGTAATGAAGGGGGATAAAAAATTGTGTTTGGTGTGAAAGGTTGGAAGGAAATGAAAGGGAATAAAGGGTTATGGAGGGATAGAGAAAGACTTAAATACTAATTTTTGTTATCCTCCCAAGAATGAGATAAAATGAAAGAAAAGAGAAGGAGAGACTAAAAGGAAATGAAAGGGAGTTATGGAGGGACAGAGAAAGGCTTAAAAACTAAGTTTTGTTATCTCCCATAAAAGAGAGGAAATGGAAGAAAAGGGAAGAAGAGACTAATTTGATTTTACTAATACCAAATTTACCCTTAAAACAAAATCAAAATTACATGTACAGGAAACAAAGGCACCCAAGGAAAGGAATGACTAATGAGCTGTTAACAAAAATCTGATATATTTTTTAGTAATTGCTATGAAGAAATATATAATTTATGTTGACAACTTCACTTGATTCAAACTTAAAAAGGCTAAAAGCATGTTTTAGCTATCAGTGGGCATCAGGCTCAGAAATGGCATGCTTTATATATAAATTTGCCTTTTAAAATGTAAAAAGGTAAAATAGTAAACTAATTAAAATAGTTTTATTTCCTTTCTTTTCTTAAACATGATTATTATCATTTCCTTTATTTTATTTCATTATTCAACCAAATGCGATACTGGATTACCATTATCATTTCCTTTCTTTTCCCTTATAATTAATGTTGTCATTTCTTTTCATTTTCACTGTACCAAACATAGCCTAAGTGTTGGTATCTCAATGGTTCTTGTTCTCTGCCTTTAATGCTTGCTCTAAGGGTGGTATTTATAGCCCTTTGCTTCTCTGGTATTACTCAACAGTTTTTGTCATGCCTTGTACTTGCATTGTACCTATGCATATTAGGGCTGCAAGTTGGGCGGGTTAGCCCAGCCCAGCCCAACCCCAACCCAAAAATTTTAAAATTTGGACACGCAATTTACAAATCGGGTTCATGCTCGGGTTGGGTTTTGTCAAAACCCAGACAATTCAGGTTGGGCTCGGGCTCAACCCGAACCTAACCCAAAACCCAAAATTAATTTTTTTTTTTTTTTTTCTCTTTTCTCTCTCCTCCCCGAATTTTTTTTTTCTCTCTCCTCTCTTTTCTTTCCTTTCTTCTTTCTGCCCGAATTTTTTTTTTTTTCTCTCTCTCTCCTCTCTCTTCTTTCCCTTTCTTCTTTCTTCTTTCTGCTCGAATTTTTTTTTTCTCTCTCTCCTCTCTCTTCTTTCTCTTTCTCTTTCTCTTTCTTCTTTCTTCTTTCTCTTTCTCTCTCTGCCCGAAATTTTTTTTTTCCTCTTTTCTCTTTTCTCTTTTCTCTTTTCTTTTCTCTTCTTTCTCTTTCTCTCTCTTTCTGCCGCCGTCCTCAGCCGATCCACCGCCGCCGCCGTCACTTCCAAAAATAAAAACAAAACCCATACATACAAGTTAGCAGTTGCAGAGAGAGAGGGGGGCAAGCTTGAGACGGCTGAAGCTTGCGAACGGCAAGAACTGGAACAGCCGGCGATGGAAACTGAAACATATGGGTTTTGATTTTTTGAACAATCTGAAATGATCTGAAATATATGGATTTTGAACTT